CTCTCTCGTGCTTCTTTCCTTTTATGGTATTAGAGCAGACACTGACTCTGGGCCATGTCTAGCTCATCTGCCACATCCACCGCTGATCATTCATCATTTGTGATGCGTAAGGACATTATCACCTTCTCGCATCTAGTTTCAGTCAAGCTCGATGAGAACAATTTTCTCATCTGGAAGCATCAGATCCAGTCAACTATTCGCGGTCATGAGTTACAGAAATTCATTGACAAATCTGTTCAGCCACCTGCGAAGTACCTCGTTAGTGGTGATGATGATGATTCAGAAGGCTTTAGGCTTAAGCCGACTTATCTGGACTGGGAGAGGCAAGATAAATTACTTGCTTCGTGGATGTCTTGTTCGATGTCTAACGGAATGCTTACTCGAGTTGTCAGATGTGAGACCTCCTTTTAAATATGGGAGAAAATTCAGACTCACTTTGCGTCCCAGACTCGTGCGAAGGTTCACTAACTGAAATCTCAACTCAAGAACACCAAGAAAGGTAGTTCTTCAGCTAATGACTATCTGCTAAAACTCAAAGGCATTGTTGATTCTTTGGCTGGTATTGGGCATTCGATCTCTGCATCGGACCACATCGAGTATATTTTTGAGGGCTTATTTAAAGAATATAATCCATTTATCACTACAGTGAACACTAGAATTGATCCTTATAGTATTGATGAGATTGATTCTCTTTTGCTTGCTCAAGAAGCTTGCATAGAGAAGAATACCAAGGCTGCTATTGCTTTAGTCAATGTTGCTCAGTTTAAGCCTCCCAATCGAGGAGGTGGTCAACCTCACGGAGGAAAGAACAATCAAGGTTGTGGTTGCTTTACCAACAATTCTAGCAGTCGATCAACCACCAACAATAAGCTCCCCTATCCCTACCAAATCTGTGAAAAGAAAGGCTATCTTGCTAGTGATTGCTGGTATCGCTATGATGAGTCTTTTCAAGGTCTTTCTTTGAATGACAAGAATTCTTCTAAGAAAGAACAGCATGCTTTTGCTGCTACAGCTGAATGTGTGCTGATCCAGATTGGTATTTAGACTCTAGTGCCACAAGTCATATCACATATGATGACAGCAACATTGCAGAGAAATCAGGTGATAAATCTGTCGATAAAATTTTTATCGGTGATCGTAAAGGATCGTTAGTTCATTGCACTGGTAATTCTAACTGTCGTCTTCCCCATTCTCAGTATACTCGTAAACTAAAAGATATTCTTCATGTTCCTGATATTACTCGGAATCTGCTTAGTATTCCTAAGCTTTGTTTAGATAATGATGTGCTAATCTCCTTCTTTTCTAATGTTTGCTTGATCAAGGATCTGCAAACTAATCAGATACTCTTCAAAGGTCAACTTAAAGGAAATCTGTCAAATCTCCATGGTGTCACTCTATCTGTTCTAGATTCAGCTTTGGTCCTACATCCACAAGAGTTTGCTTATACATCTACTTCAACTTCTAATTCTATTTTTTCTAATTCTTCATTATCTATGTTTAGTCTTTGGCATAATCGCTTAGATCATCCTACTGCTACTACTGTATCTGAAGTCCTAAAACTTTGTAATCTTTCTTTCAATAATAACAAATCCGTGTTTGACTTTTGCAACTCCTGTTGTCTTGGTAAGGCACATAAACTCCCTTATTCTTTGTCTCACACACATTATTCTTCTCCTCTCAAACTTGTTCATTCAGACATTTGGGGGCCTACCCTATATACATCTCTTGATGGATATAAATACTACATTCATTTTACTGATGCCTATTCTCGGTTCACATGGTTTTATCCATTACATTCTAAGGCTCAAGCCTATAATAAATTTCTTGAGTTCAAAAAGATGGCTAAGTTACAGCTTAACTATCATCTCAAAGCCTTTCAATCTGATTGTGGTATTGAATTTCTCAAAATTAGAAAATTCTTAAAAGAACATGGCATTGCTCATCATCTCAGTTGTCCTCATACACATGAGCAAAATGGTTTAATAGCGTGTAAACATCGTACTATTGCTGAAACTGGCCTGACCGTTCTAGCTGCTGCATCTCTTCCCTTTAAATTATGGGTTGATGCTTTTAGCACTGGTGTCTATCTGTTTAACAGATTGCCTACTAAAGTGTTGAATGGTGACTCACCCTTTCAAAGGCTATTTGGCCATCATCCTGATTTACAGCATCTTCGCATTTTTTGTTGTTCTTATTTCCCTTACACAAGGCCCTATAACAAGTACAAAATGCAATATCGCTCTATTCCCTGTGTTTTCCTTGAGTATAGCTCCTCTCATAGAGGATACAAGTGTTAGGATCTAAAAGGCAGGCAATTTTATATCTCAAGAGATGTAATCTTCAATGAACTCTCTATTCAATGAAGATCGCCCGATTCTTTAACACCGTGTTCTCCTCTGTTGGACCCTCAACTAGTTTTCTAATCTATAGGGGGTAACGTGGTTAACAGAGAAAACTTGGAGGAGGAAATAAAGAGGAAAAAAATTAGAGGTACCAAATTAAAAATGTAGGGAAATTATAAGTACTAACAAAATGATTTTCCCTTTAATTATCAAAAAATGTGGTTAGCTTAACTCATTTCTATCATAAACCTTCACTATTAATAGGCTGCAACCATTATTATCAACATATTTTTTTAACTCAAACTATTTTTAAATTAACATAATAAAATAAAATTTTATTTTTATTTTAAAAAATAATTATGAAAATTATAATTCACAACATTTAAAGAAAACAAAAAATGAGAATAGGAAACAAACAAACCCTAAATCTTTTATGTGGTTCTTTGCTCATGGGCAAGCTCACACAACAAAACTAAGCTAGAAGAAGCATCCAAGCAAGCTATGAAGTATCCATGTTTCAAATTGCCTCACGTATTCATGTCGTATCATATCCGATATTGATACTTTTTTGATACGTATCCATAAAGTATCAAAATAATATTTTTTTAATTTTAAAAATTTTAATTTTTGATACACATAAGATACTTTTAGATTGCTAATCAATACTTAAAAAATAAAAATGTTAAAAAAATTAAATTTATTAAAACTTGCAATATTAAATTTTTTATTATTAATATCATTTTTTGATTTGCTTTTAAAGTCAAAGATTAGATTTTTTTTAAAAAAATAAGCTTTGGATGTTATAAAAGAATAAATATTACATTTTTCTTAATTATAAAAATGAGAAAATGTAATATTATGATAATTGAGAAGGAGAAAATTTTGATATTATGCCTATTGGAAAAGGCTAAGTGGTAGGCAATTAAGTATAAATAAAATAAAACTAGAATTAATGATTATATTTACTTGATATTATTATAAAGGACTATATATATATATATGCTAATTTAAATATTTTTCAAATTAAAAGTATATTTTTAATATTTTTTATAAACGTATATACACATATCCAAAATGTGTTGTATTTTATATTTTTAAAAATTTAAGTATTGATATCACAAATCAGTATCTGTGCATCCTAACAAGCAAGTGCCGATTTACCCTCCATTAGGTTGCGGTGTCATTAAAGACTCTATGCATCTACTCACAGATTGCACCAATGCAGTTTGGAACCAATTCTGTTCTCTACAAGGCATCCACTGAGTTAAGTGGAATTTGAAGAATAAGGCACGCAGGTCAAAGTTTTTTACCAGGAAGATATATACCGTGGCCAGTCTTATTTAACCAGAGATCCTCGAACCCTCAAGAAGTTTCATTAATTTCGTTTCCCCAGACGTGGCTGATGAGACGATTGAAAGTTTGTGAGAACAAAGGAAGTACAAATATTATCATCCTTTTGGATTGTGTGGTGGCTATAAATATGATTACTAGAGGTTGTGATCCCCATTATCCTTGTGGTGGAGAAGGCTAGAAAACGTATTTTCATAAATATGATTGCTATATATAGCTAGAGCGTCTCATAAAATTGAGGGGACTTCTCTCTCTCTCTCTCTCTCTCTCTGAGCATCTAAAGAGTTGGCAGATGATGAAAAAAAGCAATTTTTCAAGTTACCTTTACTTATTAAAATAAAATAAAATAAAAAAATTAAGATAAAAATAAATTAAATCACCTTTTTTTCATAATAAATATAATAAAATTTATTAATATCCATTATAAATGTAAAAATTATTACTCTCCAAAAATTTTATAAATCATGATTTTCAATTCTATAAATTAAATTATTTTTTTTTCTTGTTAAGATGCTCACATATTCTCTTTAATAATTTTGTTTTTATATTTATTTTTTCAATTTATTTTATTTTATTATATTTAAATAAGCAGACGTGATTTTAGTATTTTAGTTGTTCTGTTGATCTGCCTGTAATTTGCTGCTTTCTCAACTAAGTTAATGAAGTTCAGTTTCTATTCAAAAAGAGGCGTTCATATCAGTGTCACGGGCACAGAAGCTGGTCCCGTCTTTGCATCCCCTTAATCTCTTTGGTCGAGTTGTGGGCCCGTGTTAGTTCTCCGTGATCATGTTGATTTACAAATATCCATATAAAGTTTTTTTAAAAAATAAAATAAAAACATTGCATTCCATAACGTTATTAACAGACCCCTTCATAGAGTAACTTTTCTCATAGTTAAAATAAAATTGCATACATTAGCCCGCCTTGCCATTGTACGAACAGCTTTTTTTTTTTTAATTTTTTGGAACAATAGAAATTCCCCTTTCCACTCAAAAAAGTGAAAACAAAATTACATATACTAGTTTAAAAAAAATTGTTCTTACTTGTTGCTCAAAATAAAAAAATCTTTTCGAAAAAAATTCCAATTACAAAATAAAAGGGTACAGCAAAACACCTAAAAAAAGGGGGGGAAAAATCCAACCACGCTGCCCGAACCTCACAACTACAAGAACCTCACAAACAACATACAGCTAAAAAATTTTAAAAAAAAAAAACACAATCATTATCTTATAATTTTATTGAAATTTGCTTTTAATTTCTTTTAATTTTTTTAATATTTTCAATCTTTATAAGGATTGCCACCCAGTCTTATTCATAAAGGCTGAAAATATTTTAAACAAAAACTTACAAAAATTAAAGCAAAACTCCAATAAAACTTGATCTGATCTTGTTTTCTCAAAATTCAAAAAAAAAAAAAACAAAGAAAAACTAAAATGCCTCTGCAATTACAATTCAGGACAAAACAAGGCAAGGTATCACAGTGGCAGACAACGTGAATAGAACGGCGGAAACTGCAGAGGCCTTCACATGAGTTCCTGCTCCCTTGTCCGAGGCGCTCTGCTCAGCCTCCGCCGCTGGCCCATCAGCCGGAGCACCTACCGGAGTCTCAATGGCCGGAGCCGGAGGTGAAGCAGCAACGGGAGAGGGTGCCTCAACTGCCGGAGCTGGGGCCAGAGAAGCCGGTGCAGGGGAAGGAGAGCTCACTGGTTCTAGAGCCGGAGCAGGCGACGGAGACTTGCCAAACAATTCTGTTGGAAGAAGCACATTATCGACGGTGAAGATAGCAAGCGGAGTAGAGTCCAAAAGCGTATCAGCGATTCTCGACGAATCGACTCCGGTGTGGAGACTAACGGAATCACCGGCAGTAGCAACAGACAAATCGTACTTCCCAGCGCCGCTGGTGGCCAATGTAGTAATCGGATCCTTGGTAGTCTTCAATGTCCCAACCGGAATATACCTTGCGGCGGCATGATACTGCAACAGCGAAACCACCTCCGCACTGGTAAGCTTATTCAGATCGGGAACTCCACGAGCCTTGAAGGCCTCATCGGACGGCGCAAAGATAGTCAAACCTTTGTCAGCGGCAGATTGATAGGTCTTAATCACACCGCTTGATACAACCAACGAAGCAAACGTTTTACAGCCAGCCTTCTCCAGAAGCGCCGTAATGTTAACATCAGCCGTTGGAGCAGGAGCTGTCAAGATTCCCGGCGCGATAATCGGCGAGCTAATCTCAAGAACAGAGATATTGTACGGAATCTGCTTGACGGACTTAGTGTACGACGATTCGAGCTTGGAACCAGAAGCGGCGGAGCCGAAGCCGACCTTGCCGCCTTGGAGGTCAGTGATATTGACGAACCCTAAGTTACCAGGTGCATTTCCGGTGGTCTGATACAGTGTGGTGGTGAGAGTGGTACCTTTAGAGATCTGGTGAAGCTTGGGAGGGTCGTAGTAGTCGAGGAGGACGAGAAGGCTGAGAGCGTTCTTGATGACAGAGAGAGGGTGTTTGGCGGTGAGAGAAGATAAGGCGCCATTATTGAGTGCAAGGACGGTGATGGTTTGGCGGCTGTTGATTTCGTCGGCGAGCTTTGTTTGGGAGAGGAAGGAGTTGAACTGACTGTATTCAGGGAAGCCGGAGAGAATGTCGGTGATGTTGTGGGCGGAGATAACGGCGGCGAGTGAGGAGAGAGTGAATAAGAGAAGGATAGTAGCTCGTGATGTAGCCATTGTTGTTGGGAAGACGTTGTGAAGAAGTGAGAAGGAAGGAGATGACGAGACGGGCAAAAGGACGAGGAAGGAGGAGGCTGAGGTTAACCATAGTCAAGGAGCGAGGTAGTTAACTGTAGGGCCATGTGCTCACGTGACTACGTTAGAGTCGTTAATTGGGATGGGTGCATTTATTTTGATTTTTTTTTTTTTAAATCTCACCCCTCTGTTTTGGTTCTTCATACTGTTACTTTTGTTGCTGATTATAAATTTGGGTGAGTTAATTTTTCAAATGTTATTAGAATTAGGGTATGTCTCAAGATAAGATATTGCAGAAATATTTGAATATTGCAATCAAATAATGTTATCACATTAACCATGAGATTTAAATCTACAATCTTATGAATTATATATGAGCCAATTATTCTTTATCTAATAGAGCATTTTTTAAAACATAAATTAAAAATATTAATCTAAATAATGACATATACATATTTAAGTATCAAATGTATTTCTTAAATTGTAACGAATTTTTATTTGTAATTATTTAAATTGATATTTATAATTTTCTTTTGAAAATTTTGTTGGAGATTCAACTTTTAAGACCTAATTGTTATTCTTCCAATAATTATTCTCTCATAATAATAATATAAGACATTTTTTTTATAATCTACTTGATTTAAAATATAGGACATTGAATTGGCAGCAAGGGCCTAATATTCTTTTATCCATAATTATGAAGTCTAGACTAATGATTAACATTATTTTTCTCATCAATTTAGATTAGCATGAATGGTAAAAAATTCATTTTTAAATAATTGGATGAAAGCTATGTTCTAAACATTTATATAGGAAAAGGTCTAACTAGAAAGGATTTATTATACCAATTAAAATTGGTGTGAGTGACAAGAGTTTTCATTACTTAAATAAATAGTTGAGTATTCAAAATCTAACCCTTATATATGTAATAATTTAATTGATAAAGGTATACCCTTTAACTTCTCAACTTCAAGAAAGATAATATCTTTTGTTTACGAAATTTACTCCTTATGCTATTAAAAAGTGAGAAATGATTTATTATTAATCAATAATTTTATAGTTTAGTGGCATATAAATGCCTACCCGTCTAGTTCAGAGAGAGAGAGAAGGGGGGGGGGAGATTTATCATATATACTAAGTTCTATATATATGCGCGCGCGCCTGCATGCATGTATCACGCACACACTCATCCATCCAGATTCCAGACAGTCGATAAAGATGCAGCATGGAATCATCCAATGTTGTAATAAAAAAGGAACAAATAATCCGATATTGGACCCCAACTGGTAGCTGGAAAAGAAAAGGACACGAGAAACGAGGTCGACGCCCTGTTAAGAAAAGTGACTCCACTTTTTGACCTTTTGCATTCATTTTAAAAAAAGTAACAAAATAAATAGGGATTGAATCAATTGCAATTAAATTTTTATAAACCTTTTTTTTAACAAAATGATTTAAAATTATCAATTCAAATAATTTTAAATTTAGGAGTTTAAATTTTAGATAAAAGATTTAAGTGTCAAATATACCTTTTAAATTCTAACTAAGATTCCATTTTGTAAATTCTGTTAAAGACCTTACTATCATTGATTCACTTTTTTAGAACCTACACTTTCTGTTTTTTAAAAAGTTAAATATCAAAAAATATAAAATATTTTTAGTGTTTTAAAATGTAATTATTGTTTTTTTAATAGTACGCCTAATGAATAAATTGATTAATATTTATTTTAAAGTAAAACACTCTATTAAATAGAGATAAATATGAAAAGATGATATTAATTTAAAAATGACTATTTTATTATGATGAGATTCGATTAAAAATATCTTATCTATCATTCCCCAAAAAAAAAACTTTAAAAACCAAGATAGTAAAAAAATCAGATCGGCTATTGAATTAATTGAGACAGTAATTTAATAGTTAATAGTTTAATTGGAGTTAAATCAAAATTAGACCAATTATTATTAAAATAATATTATTTAAATAAAATATGCAAAAATATTTATATTTCACCGTGAAAAAAGTAATATTAGTTCTCAATTAAATGGAAGATTTATTATGATGATTTAAATAAAAGACAATAATCTTGGTTTAAATAGATCCAATGGACCAACAAGGGGTTGGCACAGTGGAGGTGGATTGCGACCCTCAAGGAAGAGAACTCAAGTTTAATTCATTAAGACCACCCTTTTAAAAGGTGGCAAGCTCTAAGACGAAGTTCTCTCTACTATACTGCCGACTCAAGAATTAGTCCCACAGCTGGCTCAAAAAACCGAAGCCGTACCCCTCAACTGTAAAGCGGCTAATTAGGATGGGCTATCAATTAAAACAAAAAAAAAAAAAAACAGTTCCAGTTGACTAAGTCATGAACGGTTCACCAATCTCACTTGTCAGAACCGTCATTCCCATGCCTTTCACCTTCAATTCGGACACACAATGTGGTTAATAAAGAATTGTTTGAGTTGTTATCATTTTTTTTTTTTCTTCTTGGAACATCTATATTAGTAATTTTTCTTTGTCTTCTTCCCATGCGTCCTAGCCTCCCGTGGGAAGCCAACTTTATCTTTGTTGTACTCTTTCATTTTCTTTAATCAAAAGCTGTTTTTACTTCCAACAAAAAGACTTGCCAGAATCGCCATTCAATGCAATGCTACTTTTTTTTATAGCAGGTAAGCACACAATTACATCAACATAGCCTTCGTAAGCAAAAATATTTCACAGGAATCAATGTATAATATTAAAATATTATCAGACCTTATACTATTCTCCATTATCTAATATGATGCAACAAATATATTAAGACCTTTTTGACCATTTGGTGTACGTAATTTGGCATACTGATTTGTAAAATAGCATTTGGTTGTCGAAAGGAATTCAAAATTTGAAGACTTGAGAACTCGCATTCCCTAGTGATTGTGAAGTATGAAAACAGGAGTGTTGATGGAGCGAAGGAAATGAGGGATTAATCATTAATTAATTGAAAAAAAGATGAAATGATGCCATTATTGGATTATGAAAGAGTTTGTCCATGATGTGGTTAACACTACCTTTACTCTTATGTATCCTATGGAAGTAATTCTGAATTTGAATTCTATTATTTTTATATAACAAAAAATTTATATGAATTGGGGTCCATAGGCTTACTAGAACTAGAACCTGCCTCTAAACTTAATAAACGCTTACATTTATAATTAGATATCGCCTTTAATAAGATCTTTACATTAATAATGAAATTTAAACTGATAATCTTATAAATTATGAATTAAGAACCTATTTAGGTATCTCACATTTGGCTTTTGTAATGTGCTTTTACTTTTTAAAAGTCAAATGCTATTTTGAATAAAATTTTTAAATGAAGGTACTTTCTTAAAGTGCATTTCAAATGTTGTTGAAAATTCATTTTGTAAAAGTATACTAGAGTTACTTTTGCATTTGGGAAAGCTAGTTGAGGATGTGATGAGATAAGTAAAATTTCTAAAATTCCTATATTATTCTTGTTCTTCACCTGTAATTACAGACCACAAAACCCACATATAGCTCTAGCCTCTTGTGTTATTTTCATCATCATTTTGTTAGTGTTCCAACAAGCAAAGAATAAATTATTTTCAAATTACAAGATAATTTTTTATATCTTTTGATATTTAAAATTTATTTATACATCTGTATTATATATATATATATATATATTATTTGACATATAAAATTTTATATTATTTATGTTCTTTTATCATATATATTATTAACCATTTTAAATTTTATACCACTGCTTATATATTTTTTAATAAATCAAATTATACATAACAAAAATTGCATGTAATAAATTCTACATGTCTTTTTTAGTAACTCTACCTTTAAAATTATTTTTCATTGTATATCATCCAAACATTTCTAATAGAGCAACCCATTGAAAATTTTTATCACATTTTTCAAATATTTTTGATATATTTATATAACAAAAATTATAAATTATTACAAATCAATATCTTTTTTAGTAATTGTATATTCAAAAGCACATTTCACTATATATAATTCAAATAATTTTTAATTTATCAAGTTAACTTTTAAAAAAATACATCTAAATATAAATTTTATTACAATAATTGACTTTTTAATGAACTGATTTTTATTAAATAAACTTTCAACAAAAAAACTTTTACAAATTAAAAACCAAACACACACTAAATCCTTATCAACTAAAGCAACTTTTTTTCAGTTCTATATTTAAATTCTTCATTAACCAGCTCTAGTCGGAACCCAACACTTCAATAGTAATTCTGTTTAGGAAAATCCCATCAACTATGGTACGTGGCTATATATAAAACTGATTTAAGGTTGCATTTGGTTTGGTTTGATGCAGGGCTCCACATGGATAGTGTAGGGTTGAGATTCACACTAGAAAGATGCTCGACCCAAAAGCCTGAATGGCTCAGATAGGACCGGGTTTGTCAGACCATTGAACTACTTGCACAGCTGTAATTTGATAGAATGACCTTCAAAGAAAAGGAAAGAGTGATGAAATTACTTGCCCATTTTGTTACTAGAAAGACTGTTGATAGAAATAAACAAATTTGAAATGAAATAAAAATATTATTAAGTTTGTTTTGTATAAGAGAATTTTTTATATTTAATTAAATAAAAAATATTATTATAAAGACTAAAATGCCCTCAATGATTTTTCCCTCTTTCATTCTTCACTGCCAAACCCGAGGTTCTTCTTCCATTGCCATCTATGGTCTCCTCCCAAAAGCCCATAAGAGAACGTTTCTCACCTTCAGTCCTTCACGCTCCTACAATGAATGGGCTTGTTATAATAAGGACTTGGATCATGAAAGAGAGAATAATGGGCCAGCTATTCATCCAAATGGGCCAACGGGAAAATGAATGGGTTAAGGAAGGTGTGAGGATAAATAAAGATGAGAAAGGATTACCAAGCAAGTGTGATACAAATGATAGTAGTTTAAACACCCGAAGCATCATTCTAAGATTCAATTTCTAAAGATATGTTTGGAAAAACATCGCTTAGAAGATGACAATATCTTAAATAGTGCTTAGATTACTTATAAGGTTAGTTTCACAACTGCCAGCTATGGGGATAGTGTAAAAAAAAAAAAAAGAAAAGATAGAGAGAGATGGGAAAGAGTTTTTTAAGGCGTGGATGGATATTTTTTTGGATAAAAACTGAAAATATCATTAATCAAGAACAAATCTACTCATAACAGCATTAAAAGACAAACAAACCTAAAAACCCTTCATCAAATTCCACCTTATACATTTAAGATGGCGTTTGATCGAAAAAAAAAAAAAAGAATTCCAAGTCATTGGCCCTGTTAGCAATCCTACAGGCCTCAGACTGTTTCATATAATCTTATATATATAATTCATAAAAAAGAATTCGAGTTCCTATTAAAAAAAAAATTACTTCTTAGCAAATCTAGTAAACCAAATCTACTTACAACAGAAAGAAAGGAAATAGCGAACCACAACAAAAGGGGAGGGATCGGATGGAATCAATGCTATATCCAGCAAACACACGCCTTAGGCCTTCATCATTCTTCATCGCTCATAATAACCAGATTACAAGAATAAAATAAGTTATGGGCATTGAGGATGAGGAGACTGTCGCTCTTCATTCCCTCGTGTTATGAAGTCATTGTCTTCGCCACCAATGGCTAAATAAACGTGTTAGTGGATGGCGAAGGATCGAGACCCAAGTAGAGGAAGGGGAAAGGAATGCATGACATTTTAGAGATTTGCCTCTGATTCCAGGAGACTTCAAGCCTGTTTGATTACCTATTTTCAAAACAGTGTTCTGGCCAAAAAAAAAAGAAGAGATATTTTGAAAAATGAGTTTTCTGTTATCTATTTTGAAAAATGATATTTTGAAAAAAAAAACTTGTTTGAAAATGAGTTTTCTGTTATCTATTTTGAAAAATGAAAAAAAGTTAAAAGCTGCCAGCATATCTTTTAGATATTTTGTTACTTTTGTTATGCAAAACTAGACAAAAGATAGAAAATATTATGCTTTCATTAACGGCAATGATGCTAATAAAATAAATTATTCTTTCATCCTTTATTTCACCAATTTAGATATATTTTTCAAAATAGTGATTCAAACAATTTTTTTTATTTCTTGTTTTCAAAACTTGTTTTAAAAAGCTATTCTATAGAATTATTTTGATAACATTAAAAATAGGAAACAGAACTAAACAAGCCTTCATTCCTCCCATTTTTTTTTTTTTTGGAGGAATCACCATTGCCATATTTATAAGAATAGTCTCTGTAGGAAAGGGCAACATGGCAACATAATCACAGAGTGATGTAATCTAGCATTTTCTCCATTCCTTTCCAGCTTCTTTCTTGTAACCAAGTGGGACCTACTTCTCTTGTTTGACACGAGTCATGGCTATGAAATCCCATTCCTGAAGGAATGGCGCACTCAATTCCATGGAGTGAAGACTAAAATCTTGACATTGCCCCAATACGAATATTTCATGACCAATCCTTGAATATACAAAAAGCTCAACTAAGTCAATTACAACACTACCCTCAGGAACCTAAAATATTGAAAGGTTCAACCAGATGCCATCAATTTTCATGAATTTCCCAAACAATGAAGTGAAATAAAAAAAACATGACCCAACCAGAACTTCTAAATTCTCAGAAAATCTTATTATGCTTGAAGAAGAGAATGTCCAGCATGAAAGCATTTCTGGAGAAGATTTTAAACAACCGTCCAAGATAATGGCAATGAAAAGTTCAAACCAACAAATGAATATGTTCAATTAAGAGCATTAGCTTACTAAGATTTGCTGGCCTGTGTGTTTATTGTCAACAAGGAAAATGCATACTTTCATTCCAAGGAGCATGCTTTCTCAAATGTTTGCTGCTCTTTGCGACACAAGTCAAATTCGTTTGTGTGGTAGTACATGCATCCAACATATTCATCCATCTCCTTTGTGCACTTTTGGTGTAGATCCCTGAGCCTGCAGAAGAAGCATTCAATGAGTTAAAAATAAAACATACCATATACCATGTACAAGCAAATTGACTCCTCTCTATCATGCATTTATAAAGAGTAACATAAAAGAATTCGGTTATGTATGGGATGCACATTTTATAATTATACCCGTACACTTCTTGATCTGTCTCCTAATGTACCCTGTACATTAAATTTTGGAATCATCAAGGATCCAAACTAGTGCACACAAGGATTCCTTGGGAGTATTTTATGGAAATCCAGGTCAACCCCTTGGTTGAGTAGTTAAATTAGTGTCTTGACTGGTTTAATAAAATAACCAATTTATGACTGGTTTGATCACAATTTGACTATGGTTTTGACTATTAACCTTTAAACTAATATCTTGATTGGTTTAATGAAAGGTCCTGTTTGTTGTACCTTGTCAGGAGAAACTCAATAGTATGTAGATAACCATAAATACTTTCACTAAAAAGTCAATAAATCACATTATTTAAGGTGTCTATTACATTTTTAGTAGCCATAGTCCAAAAGAACCAAGTGCTCTACAGTCTCCAATAAGAAAAATCAAAGAGTGACACTTTTTGTCACTGTTGCTTACAACTAATATTACTTTTAGTAATATTGTAGTTATTTCGTTTTTGTTACCATCAAACAAGCCATCAAGAGGCAATAAATTTGGGCATATTATCATAAGATACAGGAAAGTTCATGCAAAATGCTAAGAACAAGAATAAACAGGGAATATAAACCCCCATGGCTAGTACCTGTGCAAACAAACAACAGAATCATGTACCACATATATTCTAAAACTTGAATCCTCTTTCACTGTTTTATATGTCTTCTCATATTACTTTTGTTTTCACTCTCTTATTTTGATCCTTCTTCGGTAAAGGAAAAAATTCTTTCTCTAACAAATTTTGTTTATAAAGATGAATTCATTCACCCATGCAGATGCACAGTAAAACTACTCTAGCTTTTCATATAATGAAGCAATCTGAGCCAACCAGGTATAAATATGACAGTTTATGGCTCCATAGAAGGGAGAAAGAATATTATACTGGAAATAACATGTCAGTTTACCTGCTCTACACACGGTTTTCATTATTAATCTTTTCAATATTGAGAAGTAAATGAAGGTGTGAGAAAGAAAAAACTACGCCATCCATCCCTTTTCCCCTTTAAAAGGTTATTTATAACATGGACATCACAATTTTTGTATTCCTATATTTAGAGACAGATATCAGGAATATCCTAGATTTTAAACCATTCAACTATCCATTCCATCTACTGTATGGCATGTTGACACACAGAAAAATTAGACAAGAAACTATTATTATTGAAATGCAAGTAGCATGCTGCACTTTGAAGCAGGTCAATTACAATGTGAATCTGATAAGACCCCATCACTTGTCAATGTCAAAACTTTAAAAAGGAGACAGAAAAAGAACAGCAAAAGGGCAGCAAAAATGGGACTATTTGTTTATAAGAAAATACTATGGGTAACAACCAGCTGACACAGAAAAGCAGGGGAGTAAAACTAGGTAGTGTTGGTAGGGGTAATGAGTAATTTTTGGGTCTTTAAATCTGTAATTTCATGCAGACGGGCCTGGGGAGTATTTTGAATATTAAGAGTGGTGAGGAGAGTTTTGGCCTCTCAAGTGCCAGGTTGAGGTGGAGAAAGCTATCTTTCTTCATCATTTTCTCCTTCTGTTTTAGCGTATGCTTGTGAGTTGAGTTACGTTTTTTGTTGTTCTGTGAGGTGTGTTTCATTGTGTGAGAGGGACAAGATTAGCTTGAATCATTAATTACCTTGTAATCCAATCCCATTGTTCTGCAATAGTAATTCTTAGTCCCATTTATAGCGTGTTTTCTAGTTCTTGCTTGTTTTAAGCTTATGAGAGTAGGAGGGGCTCTGTCAGAATCCAAAATAAGTTCATACTGCACTACAAAATATGCATCCATATCAATATCAATGACCAATGAACTCTGAATTTGAATTTCAAATACCACAAACCAGAAATAGTAAAGACTTTTACTCAAAATGGTGTAGAATGAATTTTAAGGAGCTTGCTGATCTGACAGGGATTTTTCAAACTGACAAGCAATATGTATATACTACACTGATATTAGTATCTGAAGACTGAAGCATGTCAAATTGAATTTTTTATGAGAATTAATCATTCAGCCTCTTTGGAGCTGGAAAAAGAACCTTACGCATACAGAGAAGGTAAGAAATTTCAAGTACAACTTCGCATAGGCACTTAAATGCCAACTATAATGCTTATGGGAGAAAATCTTGTACGCTTATAATGAAGATTCAAAAAATGAAATGTTCAGTGAATTTTAGAAGTACTTTACCCAGATTTTTTCCTTTTTACCTCACTCAGACTAATTTTATACATAAGTCAGATGAAATAGGAAGTCTTAATTCCATCTTCTTGACTGTTACGACTTACTTTCTACAGCCTAATTTGATGCAGAAATGGTATCATCAATACTCCCACCAGCTTGTGCTGTAGAGTGAAAATATTAAAAACAAAAAAATCAACGAATTTCATAATTTTTTTCTCATATTCTTATAGGTATCAAACAAACCGTATATTTTAACAAATTTAAGTGGGAATGATAATTACGGGGGGAAAAACACTCACAGGCCAAGGACGCATCGAGTAACTTCACGACCTTTGTCGAGGCATTTGTCTGGATTTGGATCATTCTTCTTGCATTTCAGGAATTCCACATTCTCCGAATGGCATCTTATTCCTATGTGCTTCGATGAAGCCATCAAGACAGCCGAGGTCGGGATCGGATTCCCAGCAGCATCTACCGCGCTCGCCATATCCAATTGATCACTCAACTTCTTCGGCTATCCACAAGAAGAAAGAAAGAAAGAAAAATAAAACGTTACATTCCGTTTGGTTCCCGAGAAAACGAAGGAAACAACTGTATTTAACAAGAGTTGCAAGCTTTCGTCCATTTTCCTTCGTTTATCAGATAAAACGAGAAATCAAAACGATCAATTAACGAACATTTACAAAATTATATAAATTTGCCTTGAAGTTTGTCGATTTCTCGTCGTCCTAGCTAGGAGAAAAGGAGAAGAACGACGACTAAGAGTGGATGGGGAATGGGTGAAGGTGAAATGCTAAAATGCTCCGTGGGTTTCATGGTTTAGATGTTTTTTGGCCAGAGTTCTGTTTCCCGTTTTCAACTTTTTAAAACAATTCGAAAATTTTTTATTTAAATCATTGTTTTGAAAAAATATATAAATTAATAAAATAAAAGGTTAAAAAATAATTTATTTTATTAATATAATTTTCATTAACAAATAATTAAATTTTCCATATTTTATCTATTTTTCATAATAAAAAGTAAACAAATATCCAAAAAATATTCTAGATTTTTATTTTTAAAATAAATAATAGAAAACATTATAATATGATTTACTTTCTATATTAAAGAATATAAGATATTTTTTAATTGAATTATATTTTAAAAAATTAATTGTTATTAAATTAATATCACATTTTTAAATTTATTTTTATTTGATAAGATGTCTCACTTAAAATGAAAGATTAAATATTATATTTATTAAGATTGTGTGACAAATAAATTTGGATTTGGGCCAGATTCTTTATTCTAGCATTTAAAAATTAATTAAAATAATTAACAGGGTTGTTGTTGTTGTTATTTATGTGTGTGTTTGGTTTTCATTTTGGTAAAAGTCAATTTGATGAAAGTTCATTTAGTAAAAGTCAGTTGTTGTAATGAAATTTGTGTTTGAATATATTTTTCTAAAAGTCAGTTTGAAAAACTGAAAGTTATTTGGATTAATAAAAATTTATTTTTTTAAAAAGTACTTTTTAATATGTAATGATCAAAAAGAACATTAAAGAATAATAATTTATAATTTTTATTATACAAATATAATATATTATTTAAAATAACATAAAATTTAAAATGTTAAATAATAAGAAAAAAATATAAAATTTCATTTTGGACAAATTTATGCAATAAATAGTTAAATATTCATTAATATTGAATAATTACATGATTAATGGTTTGATTTATAATATATAATCTGATCTTTAATAAAATCTCGAAGCTTATTCATCTTTCTATCAGAAGTTACACTTGAAATTGCACTTAGAATTATTGATGAAAATACATGTTCATCATTATGATATTAGTATTAACCATATTTTCATTCTCAAAATGTCTAAAGTCAAAATCAGTTGCAAATTTTCTTATAATAAAATTATGTATAGTCATTGTTGCACCAACGATACGAACTTGCGTCACAAATGGATAACTACGCATGTGTCGTAAGATTGCGAATTTGTTTTTCCAAACCCTGAAAGTCCTTTCAATCGTAGTCCTTAAGCTTGAATGATAATAATTGAAAACCTCATTATTATATGCAAATCCAAATGAATGCTTGAAATCTGGGAGGTAGTACATATGAGATTTATAAAGACCTAAATATCCACGTGGCGTTGGATAGTCGGCATCTAATAAATAATATTTACCTACCAATAAAAAAAATAGAAATTATAAGATCCCAAAAAATATTGAGTAAATTATTTTAAGTTAAATAAATATGAAATACACCTTGGGGTGGAGGTGAAAATTTCATGTCCGACCTTGTGAGTGCATAGTCAAACAAATGAGCATCATGGGCAGTTCCTTCCCATCCAGCCATAACATAAGTGAAGCACATATCCCAATCACATGCAGTTATTATATTTTGTGTTGGAATACCTTTTCTTCTAATATATTTTCCTTGCTCTTCAATACTAACCACTGTATTCCATTGATTGCTCTTATGATATTTTTAACGAATGGCCAATATCGCGGATCACCTAAAATTTTTGGATGAATATCTTGAAAAGTGCAATCTTTTGGTTGGATATATTCCTTTGCTAGCATCTCACAAGCACATAATACATTTTTGAAATGTCTGTGAACAGTCTCTACTGAATGTTGAAATCATTTTTGTGCCATCCTATTCCACACCCTATGTTCAACAATATTTAGGAACATACTGACCATTTCATGAATCCCTATTCTTCTAGTTGGACACAAACTATGTTGCACCAGTTCATCACAAAGTTAAAAAAAAAAACATCTTTTTCCACGCAAAACATGTCATAACAACATTGAGAATGCCCTTGCAAAATTTTTTACAACCAATGCATGACCTGATTGTGAACTGATTCTACAAGGCTCTTTTAATAAAGTTGTTGAGTAATCAGATACTATTGCAGTAATAGCCTCAATCTCATTGTCTTCTACATGTACAAGTAATTATAATAAGCGAGATTCCGTATTGTCATCCATAAAAATCGCATAGCATAATTAAACAACCATTACACTATTGTCCATGATTTAACATAAGAAACACATAACACAAGAGTCAAATAATACAGTTAGTTTCAAAACAAAGTTAACAACATAAACGGCACTAGCTAAATTTAAAATATTAAGAAGGCAAGCTAGGATTGATCTAATCTGATTTTTTCCTAAGCACTTCAAATAGGCCATTAATGCTCTTCTGTTGTCCCTAAGCCCAATATACATGTCCCTTGCAGTCTTATCTAACAAAGCCACAGCACACTGTCTAAGAAGTGCCTCATCACAAGCAATCTCCTTGATTTCATAAAGTTTCTTTGCAACATCCACCACATGTTGATCAACTAGTTTTGTCCCACCCTCTATGAATTAAGAATTGACTTTAGTTTTGAAACCCTATCCTCTTGTATGGACACCTCAACTCACTGAATCAACCATCACAGTTGCAAGATATTTTCCCTTCTTGTTTTGACCACTTTCACCTCTCTTTTTCTTGCTCCACGAATTAGTATCACTACTGTATGCATTGTTCAAGTTGACCTGCTTAATTTTTGGGAGAGCTCCTCTACTAATGTTTCTGACATCATCACTGTCTCCTAATCCTTTAGTTAAATCCAATTGAGGCCTATACAAATCTTGTAGGTCATTAGCCGCATGTGTCTACATGTAAGTACCCTATGCTGCAACTGGCTGGAACAATTGTGTCAATTCTTGTACATATGGAAGTGGTCTATATCTAAATTTTCTATACTCAGGATTCTCCTACACATTACAAGAACTGAGTTCAATATATTTACAAGATAAAGCATCAAATATATAGCATGTCGTATATAATTCTATATCTTAATCTTTTGATTCCACCACTCATTCGGTGCTGATGCAGTATTCTTTTCACTATCCCATCCCAAGTCAATCTCTTTATTTAGCAATTTGTCCTATATATTCTAGTCTTTCCTCAAATTGTCCCATTTGTTCTTTAATTGCTTCTTATCATAGCTTCTAGAGCTCAAAGCATTGAACTATTGCATTAGCGCTTCCCAACCTTCCTTTGATAAAGTAGAGCCCTTGCGCTCATTTTTTCTAACTTGTTGGAGAGCTAATTTGATGATCAATTTGGTCTTTTCGGTAGTTCACATTGCCCTCTCTTTACTCATATTTACTATCAAAATATTACATTCTCAATAATTAATTAACATAAATTAGACCTATTTGTCAACCCACATTTAACAGGAAACAAAGCAATTAATAATTAATTAAGTAAAACTATCCAATGTTTATTTATGAACCATACCAAAACCCATAATTCAATATTAGTTTGAACAAAAGAAAAATTGAAAATACACACATAAACACACATAAATCCAGAATAATTCACCAGTAATTGAGCACAAGAAAATTTTAAAATACACACATTTTCAGGAAAAGAGATCAAAACCCAAGAATCAGTCATTGATTATGAAAAAAAAATTTACAAACATACACATAGAGCAGAACTAATTTTGAACTTAAATAATTCAAGATCTAAAAACAGAACCAAGCCACTAATGTTTAGATTTCCACCGTTCCAGTTCCTATTCATTCAGTGTAAGAAAAGTTTGAACCATACACACAGAGCAAAACTACGTTCAGATTCACAACATTCCTGTTCATTGAGTATGAGAAAATTTTAAACCAAACCTTCTTCTTCAACGTTCAAATTCCCAATGTCCAAAAGCTCTCAAGTTTTGGATTGCCAATGCAAGTGGAAGAAACGATCAAACAGAGCAGAAGTACCTTTAACCAAAAAAAATAGAGCATAACTAATCTGGAGAAAAAATCAAAGGGTCGTCGAGTGTCTAAGACCAAAAAGAAGCTCCGAGTGTCCAAGTGTGTTTGAGTTCAGTTCAGGTGTTATGCTCTGTTTTAGACGCTCACTGAAATGGGCTCATTGTAAGTTCTTCCTAATGCTGCAAACAGACAATCTCACCTGACTTGAGCTTCGCAATGCTGTCCAAGACCCAAAAGAAGCTTGATCCGTGAGCTATAAATGGAAAATGGCAACTGGAATGGCGGGGAAGGACGACGGAACGAGACCATGAGCTCAGTGAAGGAAAAAGTCAGATCTGTGATTAGAGATGGCAGGGGAGAGACTGAGGAGAGAACGACGAGAGTCACTAGAGATATGGATGACAGAGGCAAACTGACGGCGGATGAGGTGGACGATAGCAGAGCACAAAGAAGAGATAATGAAAGGTGAGTTCTGAAGAACGAAATGCAGACCAGTTCGGGCAGGAGGAAAAGACAAACATGAAGCCAGGGGTATCATGGTCATTTTAAATAATAGGTATCACGTCTTCCCTCAACTGACTTTTTAAAAGCTATAGATATTAGCTTTCAAATTTTGCTATTTAGCTAGGTCCAAAAAGCACATTCAAAAAGTTAGTTTTATACCATAAATAATTCACAAACACTATTTAGCTTTCTCAAAGTAAAAAGTAACTTTTTGAATGTGAAAAACAGCTTTCTCAAACACACCCATATATCTATATAAATTTAGAATGTCTAATGAATAGTGAATAAACAGTAAATGAACAGTATTTTTAAAAATGCTCCCAATTTTTTCCCTTTTTTATCTGGTACCAATGGAACATCAAAACCCTGTCAAATGGATCTACAGTACCATTCAACTTTTTCTTTTTCTTTTAATTTGTTACCATAGATGGTACTGTAGAATTTTTCATTATTTTTTAAAATTTGTTATGAATCTAACGTTTTTTTTTGTTTTTTTTTTTTTTTCAGATGGGTATGATACATATAAAATCTACATTTGAAAATAAAGAAAATATTTTGTCTATTTTTATTTAGTTAATGATACCTCTCTTTTATTTTTGAAACCTATTTGAATATTTTTTTAGCATGGATAGTTGTAAATACAAGCCCTCCTTTTATTTTTAAGATTTTATTTTCATTCACTTAACCATTAAGTTGACCATTAAATAATGTATGTTGGACTAAAATACTCTTATTTAAATATAAATTTTGTTGAAAAATTATTTAAATTATCAAAAATTAATTTTTTATTATTTAAATATATTTATTTTGTAACTTTTTTAAAAAAATTAAATATATAATTTGGTAAAAAAAGATATTCAAAGACGCAATGTATGGACTTAATAAAGAGAAAGATAAAATAAAATAATTTTTAATAATTAATAATTTGGAATAGTTAAACCAGCCTAAATAAATTTGAAAGCTAAAAATGTTAAGAGTCTATATATTCATATATTTTAAATTCGGTATGAATTAAGGCTCTAAAGTTAATGGAGGTAATGTAATATTTTAATAAACTTGATTTTTAAAAAATTGAAGTAGTGTGGTTTAAAAAAAAGTGATTTGTAAGAACTACTATCAAAAAATATGAGTGGAGTCTACATTTATAAATTTAAAAAATGTAAACAAGGTGTAAAAAATAATAAGATTTTTTATATTTTTAGAGATCATGTAGGATTTTATATTAAAAATTAATAGTGAATATAAGATTTTTAGTAAAATAATAGGTGTTAGATATACAAAGAATTTTTTATATACTCCCTCCATTAAAAAATATAAAGCATTTTTTGAGGGGTTGTATATTAAAAAATATAAAGTATTTTTTCTTTTAAGGTGTAATCATTATCTTTTTTTTAAAGTTCCCAAATTGAATAAATCATTTTATATTTATTTTAGCATGAAACATTCTATTAAATAAAGATAAATATGAAAAAATAAAATTAATTTGAATACAAGTAATCACTTTAAATAAAGATAAATATAAAAAAATAAAATTCAGTTAAAAATACCTTGTATTTTTTAATGGAGAGAGTATTTATTATTAACACAAGGTAACAAATTAACATAGTTTGTGTTAGCATATAAAAATTAAATTTTTGTTTATATTCTTCAAATGCATAAAGCATAAAAATTTATTATTTTATTATTTATATGTAAAAGTTGATTATAATTTGAACGTCTATAAAAATATTGATGTAATTATATACCTCAAGTCAACAAAAATTATGGACTACAAATTAATTATATAAGATTAATGAATTTATCTTCAGCTACACATCTAATTTTTTCTTAATAATCATTGTATTACTCGCAGATATGCATTTGAAACATTATTTTAACAAACTTATTCTCTTTGTTAAAAAATATAAAGTATTTTTTAGGGGTTATTTTTTAAAAGTTGGATGTTAGAAAATATAAAATATTTTTAGTGTTTAAAGGTATAATAATTGAATTTTTTTTCAAAAATGCTCATAATGAATAAATTATTTTAGTGTGAACCACCACATTAAATAATAAATGTGAAAAGATGATATTATTTTAAAAACAGGCAACTATTTTATTGAAATAAGATTTGGTAAAAAAGAGCTTACATTTTTCAAAACATGGAGTATGCATTTATTTTTTTATAAAATACTAAATAAATTAGTTTGTATGACTAATAAATTTAAAATATAAACAAAAATTTAAAAGAATATATCAAGAATAGTATTTATTAGTTAATGACTAGATAAGTAAAAATGAAAATTTAATAGTAGAAGGTATATTCAAATTTTGTAACTCTTAATTATTGATTTTAAGAGGAATTTATATAAATTTTAAAAATAAAAATATTTATAATTAAGATAAAATAAAGAAAAAATAATATATTTTATTTTAAGGATATTAAATATTTTGTTAATGTTTATATTTATTTTTATTTTTAAAAACTAAAATTTTCCTGTGCAAAATCTAGGTATTATTATTTTGAGGGTAAATGCCGAGCTATTTTAAAGAGAAAATAGCATTCAAGGACTACCGTATAAAATTTATATCTCCTAAGGATCAAATGATTTTAGCTTTCATAAGCGAAAAGATGAAAATGCCCCTCAAGTAATTAAAAAACAAAAAGAAAAAAGAAACCCCCTCCAACGCTGATGACATTTTATTTGAGAATTAAATTTTTAGGTGGCTAAGGAAAAGTTTAATCCCATAACCCTTGATCACCTAAAAAGTCACCAAGCCCTTCAATAAGATATGTAAAAAAAAAAAAAATATAAGTAGTAAATCAAGCATAAAACCATTTTCATGTAATAACCTAATGGTGTATTGTTAATTTTTAAATGAAACTTGTCATTTTATAATATTACTTGTTAATCTGGCATGGACAATTACAAATTGGGAATTTCAAAACTTGACTCATTTTACTTGTTAAATGTCTTAATGTATTGTTGTTAATTATGAATTGGTTGTTGTCAAAATTAAACGGATACTTGTTAGTAAATGACTAATACGTATAACTAAACCCTTCCTATTAATTTTTTTAATTTGTTAAAACCATAATAAATTTTTATTAATTTCAAATGAATTTTTGTTATTTTACAAATGTCCCTTGTTAATTTGACATGAATAATTATAAATTAAATATTTTAAAATTTTATTAATCTTACTTGTTAAATATCCTAATGTATTGCTGTCAATCATAAAAAAATTATTTTCAAAATTAAATAGGTTAAATGTTCTAATGTATTATGATCAATTATAAATAAATTATTGTTAAAATTAAATGGGTACTTCTTAAATAAAATATTGCCGGCATTGAAGTTTTTGCAATCCCGCCTATAGTGGGGGCTCCGATGATCTCAACGCTGGCGATAGTGAGACTTTTTGTTTTAAACAATTTGAGAGATATTTTAATTTTTTTATTTATAAAATTAATATATTAGAAGGATTGCAGAGTTATTTTAAAATTATTTGGTCCTTTCGGATAAAAGATGCTATTTCCTCTATTTTGAATCTTTGTCGAAGCGCTCCTCCTTCGCGTTCTCCTCTCCCACATGATGATGGTTCACAGTCAGGTGACTCCAATCTTCCCCTTCTCTCTTGTTAACTTCTCTTCGGCCTCACTTACTTTGTTTAGTCTACACTCACATCGTCACTACCCTCAGTCTCTTCTTCCTTTCCTCTTTTCTTAACTTGTCTCTCTTGCTAGCTTCGTTCCGCTCCGCTCCACTCAGGTCAAATTTTATCTAGTCTCCGAATATATTTTTGTACTGAGTCAATCTATATCTGCTGGGTGAACTAGTTCTGTGATTTACATTGTATTTGAGATTTCTCCCCTTAATTGTTTTTCTTGTTTGATCTGGAATTAGTGTTTTCTACTCTAATATTCAATAAATAATGCTTCATTTATGATATGCGTTGATATTCTGAATAGTAATTTTGGCGGTGCGGTGATCCATTTCAAAGTACTTTTGTTCTGAAAGGATATTTGTGTGGGTTTTGCTTGCTCATCAGTTCGCCTTCGCATGCGGCTTTCTATATAGATTTTTTGTTTGTTAATTATTAATCATTAGTTTATTTTATTTGTTACACCTGGGATGTATATGTATATGGGATATGTAAGTTTTTCTTGTATTGGTACTGATATGTAGTCAAAGTTTTCTTTGTATTTACCAAACCGGGTGTTACAGATGACGGGATTTACAAAGACACCAACCGTATAGTACATAAGATATCAATATATAAATACAAGAATTTGGGTGTGTGTGTGTGTCTTATGTACTTTACCTGTGTTTCCTTTGAAATTGATACTGTCAATTTGAAAGAAAAGAGACTTAAGTTTGGAGATTAATAAATAGATAGTGAAGGATTGATCTTACATCTCAAAGAACACCTGAAGTCTGGATTCAAGGTCTTTATTGGTCATGTCCTCCCAGAACACTTTGTGTTCATCCAGAGTAATCCCATTTTCAGCATGTATATTCCTTCGTCTTGCCAAAGCATCGAACAGTTCTCCTTCAAAATCCTTTGATTCTGCTCCCATCCATGCGAAACAGAACTATATAAATCTCGTAGTTCAAACTTCATTTTTAATGTGAATTCACAGATCCCATTAAATATCAGGAATATATAGACAAATACCAATGCAAGCTCCAGATATGTCCCTTGAGAGCTTCCCATCAACAGCATGCTGAGAAAATCACTTCTCAATTGCATTCCATGCATCTTGCTCCTTCCCTCTGAGTGTTCTATCAAGAAACCGTAAGGTGTTAGCCCCAAGCCTTCTTGTTGCTCCTGATTGTTTCTTCTCTTCTCTTCTTTCTATTGCTCACCTTTGTAAGGTTTTTTTTTTTTTTTTGGTCCCCCATCTAATTTTTTTAATCATCTGAATAGTAGAAGAATGATGTTTATAGCAGAGAGATTTGGCAACAAGGGCCGGTGTTTAGTTCAATTTGTCAGTTTGTGCAGACAATAATTATAGGTTTAATTACGCCTTTTGCTTTAGGTGAAGAATTCTTCTTGGGAGGGTGAGTTGTCATCATCCAAGCCACTTCACTTGCATTTTGTTTTATTCAAAATTTTTCTATGTCACGTTTGTTCTTGTGAAAGAAAGAATTTGCTAATAAAGTTGGCCCATAACTGTAGTATACCTTCCTTGATCACCAAACAAATCAAAAATTTATTGCTTCCCCTTTGACCCCCTTTCCCCATCTCTGTCTTGTCTATTTGTTTTGTAAATCATATCTTATTTTTGAAAGTTTGATGTAAAAGTTTATTGACCATCATCCCTGTTTGTGTTGTTTGTCTATAACACTAGACACTTCTCTACTAAGGTTTAAAACTTACTATCATGTGGTAGAATTAAAGTGCATTTTTATTTATGTACTTTCCTTTGAAAAGTGTTGATACCCAGTGCTAATAACTATGACATTTTTTTTCCTTAAACCATTTTTCAAAGGAGAAAAAATATCCTCCATTGGTGATTCATTGACTCTGTCGTTTTCTGCTGACATAACATGTCACTAAAAAATGCCCATTTCAACCAAAAAGAGTTTTGGGATAAATTAACACCAAAGAATATGTCACATTAACAGAAAATGGCAGAGTTAATAGATCACTAACGGAGAGGAATTTTTACTCTTTTGAAAAATAGTTTAGGGGGAATAATGTCCCACTTATTAGTATAAGGTACCTAGAGCTCCTCAAAGATAAGTACAGGGGAGAAAATGCACTTTAACCCAGTTTGGTGTGATGTATTTCAAAGTATGGTTTTAAGCTGTCATTGTCAATTGTCCAAACCAGGCAATTTCTGGTATGTGTATGTCATTTTTTGTTCCTTTGCATCATCACATTTATTCTGATAAAAAACTTATGTTTATTTGTCTAATTTGGTTTTCTCCCTTACTTTCAGACTGAAGGAAGTGTACCAAATACTCTTGTTATGGCAAATCGTAAGGTTATAAAACCTTGGGTTACAGAAGCTGAGCATATAATTCATTCCTTAAATTTCCCCATTCTCTATGCATTTACTTCACTGTTTAATTTGTTGATTGTCTGGGACCATTCTGTTAAATTAGTAGGTTGGGTAAAGTTAAATTAGGATGAATGAAAAGAGAGTTTCTGCCGAATCTTGGTCATGACTCATGATACCTTTTGATTTTTGTTGAAGTGTGTAGAGTTTTAATGGAATGAAATTTACTTTGAAATTTGAGGTATGTAAAGTTTTAATGGATATTAATGCTTCATTTAACAATTTTTATTTTTATTTTCCTAGAGTTTTCCTGAAGCAACTGGCTATCAAAATAAAACAATTGAGAATGTGGATGACATTGTCATGTTATGTGGGAGTAATATATAGAGCCACTGATAATGGTGTTGTCAATTTTCGAGAAGAAAATGAGGTGCATTCTAATATCAATTTGGAAGAGCAAGATACTTCAAAGTCAAATTTACGAATGTTTTGAAAGGGTTAAAAAGAATCAAAAAAGATCCTTTAGCTAATGCAGTGATGGAGTTAGCTAACTCATTTAAAGAATATTTGCAAAAGATTTGATTACTTTGGATTCTTTATTCAAAATGAAAGGGTTTGCTTTGACCGTTAAAAGTGGGTAACTTATTCCCTATGTCTTCATTTCTATTGCATTTTATCTCATCATATCCCATTCTATTTTGTGATATTTGAGAATTGCCATCAATATCTCAATGTAAGTCAAGGATATTACTTTGTTCCACAATCCAAGGCTATTTAAACTAATCAATTAAGAATTTTCATGTGTACTAGTATTGACAAGTGCATCTTGAATGCAATCATCAATTCCCCCAAGAGATCACAATTAGTGCGAGCTAACATATTAATGATGCGGAAGGCATCTTTGCTATGCTACTAACACTTTACTTGCTCTACTATTCTGTTCAAGCTTGCTTGAGGAAAAATTATGAGGTGTAAAACAAAAGAAGATATGCGGATTTGGGCATAATAAATATAGTATGCCCAAATTTGCATATCTTTTTTGATTTTTTTTAAAATAAAAAGAGAATAGCAAAGTAAGGTCATTCCATTTTGACAAAATATTTAGTATTGAGAATACTTTGTTTTGGTGTGTGAGAACTTGTAATGTTCTTAATTGTTTGCTTTACTTGGTATTGAGAATACTTTGTTTTGGTGTTTGAAAATTTTAGTAATGATCTTAATTCTTTGTTTTATTGTAGAATGACAAATCAATTCTATAATTCATCATTTAAATGATCTTTTTAGTTTTTTTGAACTATTGAACAAATTTTCTAAAAAGTATTAGGATGATATGGTTGAAGGATAAATTTTGATTGATAATTTGCATACAAAACAATAAAAATAGAAGTTGATTATGGTAATTTGAAATTTCTTGCACAATCCAAATAAAAGATTTTAATATTAGAATTTAAATTTTTTTAAATTATTCAAACAAAGAATTTTAAAAACATGAATTTTAAATATGAGATTTAAAATCTAAATTCATTAATCCAAATGATATCTAAGGGTATTTTTAAAAAAATGCTTATCAATTATACATTGAAAAATTAAAATTATTTTATATTTTTGAAAGGATGGAGTATTGAAAAACTTGTTTAATTTCTATTGCATGTCAAGAGAATCAGTGTGCATCTATATTAGACCATGTTTGTCTTTTACAATTTTCTTTATTCTATTAATTATTTTATTTATATATCAACGACATGTTTTTATTGTAATTAGAAATAGAAAAATAATCACATATCTATTTTTTGACATAGGACACAGAAATTTTCTAGAATATTTAAAGTATGAAGGGAATTAGTGTGTTGATTAGAGTTGGGAATACGGGTTGGCCCAGCCCTTAAAGGCCTGAGCCCTAAAGCCTGGTTTTCTATTTCGAACCTCATTTTTCAAGTCTGACCCTTATGTGAAAGGCTCAGAGGTAGGCCCGGAAGCCCTTTTTCAAAAAAATAAATAAATAAAAAAAATTAAACATTATAAATTAATTAAAATATTTTGAAATTAAAAAAATAAAATCCTCATAATTTTTTAAAAATTAAACAACACACATTTATAAGTCTAGTAATAAAATTTAAATTTTGGTTAAAAAAATTATTTTTTATAAATACACAAACATAATAATTATAGAAAAATAAAAAATATCAGGAATTTTATAAATACACTGATATTTATTAAATTAATTTTAGAATAAATTAAAAATAATAATAATATAATGCGTGTAGGATCGAGTGAGTAGATTATTGGCTTCAAATACATGTTTTACAAAAAAAAATAATAATAATATAATAGGGTTTGAAGGGATGCTCGAGCTTGAGCCCTTTTTTATAGAGCTTATTAGAACCAAGCCTTTAAGGCTGATTACTTTTAAAAAATATTTATTTTTAAAGTTCGAATCTTTATTTAAACAGAGCTTTCAGGCTATACGCTTATTTCTGACTCTAGTGCTGATTGGCTTATTTATTAAAGCTTTCTTCAAAGTTCAAACCAACATCATCCAACAACTGCATGAGGCTCCTGGGGTCTCATGTGAGTTGTTGCATAGGGATGAATTGGACTATACTAGCCATGGTCTAGTTTGTTTTTGTGTTGCCCCATTTGTGTATAGAAAAAAAAAAATAGAGAGTATGAATTAGGGCATAAAATGCATGATCCTATCGTGGGTAACAATAAATAAATAAATAAATAAATAAATAAAAATGTATTATCCTCATTTTGTGCCATAATTATTTTATAGTGAATTGAAGAGAAAACAAGGTTTTATAAACAGAAAATCGGTTACAATACCATGATTAATAAATCATTCCATTTATTTTTTGTAGGCAAAATTAATCTGCAAGTTATTATAGTTTTTTTAATTTTAAATTGTCTGTATAATTTATTTTATTTTAATCAAGCCCTTATAATTTGATCAATTAAATTTATTAATTTCTGAAACTTAAAATCCTTAAATTTTTTATTAAAAAAATAAAATTAAGAACTTTCATATCTTTATTAGAATATTGTATAACTTTAAAATTAATTACATACTTTTTATAAATCAAAATTAATATAACTGGGTTATATTTTCTAAATAATTTTTATATGTATAGATTTTCATAAAAAATAATAAAATATGAATATTGTATTATATCAAAATTTATTTTTTAGCCAAAATTATTAAATCAAATTTTTTATAAACTTCAAAGGTATATTTATTTTGGAAAAGTTAATTATTTATTAATAATTTAAACATTTAGGGGTTAATATATTCAATGGATAAAATTATAAGAACTTGATTGAAACAAAATAAAGAACAGAACCTAATTTAACTGCTGAATCTTCTGTGTTATCTTGCACCTTGAAAGGAAAATATATAGATTTCAATGATATTATATAGCCAATATCACTGTGAACAATATCAAATGGAATGCAACGAATAAAGCACACACATTTACCGCCCTTTTGGATGTCAATGCAGCAAGGTTCTGTATCAATTCTCAAATTTGAATTTTCAAATTGTGTCAGTCCTCTAATTGCAAGACTCTATGATTATGGGAGATTTATGTTTGAAAACAATCTTTTTAAAGTTAATTTAATAAATTAAAAATTGTTTGGATGACATATAATGATAAGTACTTTTAAATATATAATTACTAAAAATGAAACGAATTTTATGGTATATATTTTTTGTTATATAAAATTTGATTTGTAATATATAAATTTTTCTTTTAAATTGAGTTAGTCTTTTTCCTCTCATTTTAGATGGGCTTTTATGATGGGTCAAAAGTTGTCAAAAATTATTTTAGTAAAAATTAATTGTAATAAAATATGTATTTGAATATTTTTTTTAAGTTAGTCTGGTAAAATAAAACTTATTTATTTTACACCAAACAACTTTTTAAAAGTAAACTCACCAACAAAGATTTTTTACTTTCTGGATGTTGTATCCATACTAGCCTAGCATTAATGATTCCTTTTATTGCCTCATCCTTCTTACAAATCCCTATTATTGTAATTTTGTGCGTGTTATAAAAAAAAAAATCCCAGACTGCTCAAGATTGAGGAAACATTGGTGTATAAATACTAAAATGAGAATTTGAGCAAGTGAGATGAACCAAGAAAAGGAATTAATGTGCACACGTACGTTGTATATAGATAAGATGCAGTGTTGGGGTATTGTATTAAAAATATGTTTGCAGCCTTCAAAATTATTTATTTAAAATAACTGACCAAACTCAATACCCAAACTTATAGAATTTTGTAATGCATAGTGGTGATTTATAATTCAATGTATTATTTATAATTCCATGTACTAACCTCTAGAAATTTGTAGTAATTAATGATGACTTGTACAATGCTAAATTTTTTTGAAATCTAATATTTATTGATGGATTTTTTAATCCAGATTCGATGCTCCAATGTTTAGAAACTTTAAAAGGTTTTTAATGGTGTTAACTGGTGCTTGTAAGGCATGCTTGCAGAGTATTTAAAATACAAAGCTCTTGAGCTTTCAAACATTCATCTTCCATCTTGTGTTTTTCTTTTCCATTTGTGTATTTCTATTGTTTTGTCATCATGTTTTTGTAGGAATGGTTTGCTTAATTTTTGAGAGTAACTGCATTCAATTGTATGTAATGAAATAGTTTTTAAAGATAATGTCCTTAAAATCATATTTTCATTAGAACTCCAACAATTTTAAGAGCTAGTTCCTATTAATTTTATAAACTTTCATCTGTTTTTCATTAAGTGGGTGTGCTGGTTTGGGTTAATGGTGAATATGATGAGAACTTGATCAGGGGCATATGCTCGTTAGTGCACTCTATTTAACTTTGATTAAGATTTTTGAGGTATATTATTTGATATCTCATTGCCATTGTTTGAGATTCAAGTTGGAGTGATTGGATTCTGGATTTGTTCAAATTTATTAGAGAAAACTTTTTCTCGAGATCTTAAATTTGAAAATCTTAATTTTTAAAAGATCTATTTGTAATGATGCATATAAATGAGAGACCAATAACTTGATTGACTTTATAAGCTTAGGGGAGAATGACTAAGAGGTTCCAAAATGATTAATTAATTCAATATAAATCTCAAATGTCAAACTCTAAAAATTTACAAGTTTAACTCTTAATTTTGCAACTTCGTTGTAATAAATTTATAATTTTTTTAAATTTTAATATAATTGAAGAATAAATATGGATATATTTGAAAACTTATTTTGAAAACAGTTTTCTATTATCCATAATAAGAGAACAAAAAAATATATTTGATAATGTATTTTCAAAAAGTATTTTGAAGAATAAAAAAATTATTCTACAAAATAAAAAAATGAAAACAACTTTCAAGTGTTCTTGAATTATTGTTCTAAAGAATAAAGGAGAATGAGAAAAATAATTATTTTTATTATTTTTTTATTTTCAAAACATATTCTATAAAACACTAATTCTTAAAAAAATAAAATAAAAACAGTTTTAAACAACCTTTATATTTGTTTTTTTGTCAAAATTTAAAACATAAGTTGTAAATTCATCATAATGAAGTTGAAAAAAAATTAAGAATCAAACTTGTAAATTATTAAAATTTAATATTTAATATTTAAGTTGAATTAATTAACTTTTTTAAAACTTTTCTGTCTCCCTAAATTCAATTGTGCTTGGTCAACTTTGGAGTCCGATCATCGTGGGCCAAAACTAAATTGGACCTAATTCACAAAAGCAACACGTCAAACGTTCCAAGTTAGACCGAGTCATGAGCAAAGCCTTTTAGCCAATTTAACAAACGATTTCATTAAAGAAAATTTGCAAGGAAAAAAAAATTATTCTTTTTTAAAAAATCCGATTGGACTAATTAATGGCCATACTAAAAGGTTTTGGAGTGACGGGAGGCTTGAAAAAAGGCGTATTAAAGAACTGAAGGAAGGTAAAAGAATATAAATAAAACCCACGACAGAGCATAAGACATGTCGAGGCTTGAAGAAATACCTCTTACCAAATTCAATGACCAAACCTGATTATAGAAACAATAATTAGAATCACACTAGACTCTAGCCTTCAAGCCATTGACATTGAAAAGTCAAACTAATGTATCCACATATCCTAATTCTGTTGTAGACTTTGTAGCAGTACGGTGCTACAAAAACAGAGATAGACATATGAATTGAGTATAACCCACATGTCCCTTACGAGATGGCATATTGCATCCCCAAAGAAAAAGGCCTTCAGGTCATAATTTTGCCTTCTAAAATAGCATTTTACTTGAATAAATAGAGTTAGTCACAGAGGCTAATCAGTGCTTAGCTTCGTTAGCTATGACTGTAAATACATAGTTTGTTAGGTTGTAATCAGGCTTATAAGAATAATCAGAGACTGAGCTATGTTCAATCTGTGTGTGTGTGTGTGTCCTACGTTTCTTACATAACAGGGACAGGCGAAATTTGATCCTAAATGCAGATTCAAAAATAACGACCAGAAACAAACAGTAATTTCATGTTTCCCCACAAATAGGTCTCTTCCCAAATATTCACACCAAGATTAGAGAGAGTAGGGAGCTATGCATTATTTCAACAAGTGGCTTCTCGTGTATAACTTCATTTACAAGGAAATTGCTTCTCATTACTAAAACACGTCAATTGCCAGTATAGTTTGAATTCCAGTGCTTATTTCCAAGGGTCATATGGTATGCATCCTCTTCAGGATTGAAAACAAATCAATTTGAATTTGCTGGAGTATTTTTCTGGATTCAACAGTGGCTCTCCCATGATTATCACCCCATTGGGAACACATAAATAAGGAGTAATTATTTACATACTCTAAGCAAAAGATGCAAATAATCGAGTAATCCAAGAGGGCGTCAAAGCAAACCCCACTAATCTTCATCAAAGAAAGAAGCTACAGGTAAATCATTTGGGCTGTGGCAAGCGGATAATCAATATTCAATAACAAAGAAGGCTAAAAGACATTGTAGTCCCAATAATCCAACAGTTAAGGTTACTTGATAACGGAGGGATAGTTGGTTGTCATTAACGCAAGCAATTTTATATACTTGTTGCCAAAATCTTTTTCAACCTTAACACTGGTCAGACATTTCTTCTTAAGATTCGCTCCACAACAAGACAGGCAACAAGAAGCACTGACAGGAATCAGGACTGTTACAGATACACCATCTTTTAACTCAAAACAGTTTCATTTGCAGTTTACATGTCAAAAGAGGAAGTGCCAGTCATACTTAATGATGAACAGAGATGAAAACATTCAAAAGGAAACCATCAAAAGAGACGTAAGTCATTTACTAAAGAGATTTGCAGGATTCAAAATTGATCTGATGGATGGAGGTCTTAAAGAATGCTGGAATAGACCACGTCCTTTCCTAATTTAGATGTTAATTGTTCTTTCCATTTACTCTTCCAAGTCATTATATATTGAAAAGCATGAACATTCATTACAAGAATAAACCAACCTAAAAAAAGGAGAAGTCGCCTCATTCATTTACCTTAAAGCATTCCATTACAACACATCTAACAGCAACGGTATGCAGCTAGCAGACACCAACGCATCATTTAAGCTGAGTATGTGTGACAAGATGCTGAAAGTGGTTTATAGTGTTGATGTAGTCACCGGTGGAGGCAAGTGACTTCCTGGCCTTGAAATCCATCCCTTACGACTTCGGTATTGCTCTATAGCTTGGAGCCTAAGTCTCTCTTGTGAAGCATTTTGGGGGTTCTTAAATGCCTATGTAACACATGAAAAAACATTTTCTTGAAGATTTGATTTCCAATTGGTTCATTATAATAATGTAAAAATGGTCAAAAATCTACCTTAGGAATAACACTCAACTTCGGTGGGGCCTCAACAATATCTCCAAATTTTATTTCTTCGTGTCCAGGAAAATCCATTTTTTCTTCTGGATTGTTCTTTTTGTGCTTCTTTTTTGCTTCCAAATACCTACAAGATAATATATCATAGTTAGGACAATTAAGCTGCATTTGTGCACTGCAGTATGCCTTTTGATAAGACTTCATCTCAAGTTCAATTTCAAATGCAGGTAAGACACGTAAGATGGAATTGAATGGACTTATGCATGTTTTTATTTGCTATGTAAAAAGCAGATAAACATGATGGGCATGATTTTGATAAAATTAAAACAAAAAGAAAAAGAAAAATGGTTGCCCTGATAAACAGCCTTTACCAACTTACAATATCCTTTTACTAAGAAATCTTGGAAAATGAAAATCGATTAAAACAAGGAAAATATAACTTTTGATCCCTGAATTTTTTATCTATTATTGATTCACTCCCTAAAGTTTGACTCAAAACAGCTTAGATCCTATAATTTCTTGATTCATAACAACTTAGTCTATAATAATAATAATTATTACTTTTGACATGAAACAACTCAGTCTCTATAATTCCTTACCTCAATAAATTATAACTACTAAGTTGTTTTGAGTCAAAATTCAGGAACTAAATCTATAATTGAAAGAATGTTTAGAGACTAAAAGTTATATGCACTCATTAAAATATTAAAATCTTAATCAAAAAGCCTCCTAGTTGAAGGTTTTATAGTAGGAAAAACAGAAAGTTTTCCTTTCCAATGTACCTAAACTAATACTGTTATGAAACACAATGAAAGAAACAGCCCTTTCAAATATAATTTGTGACTGTTCTTTATGCAGGAAATTATTTGAAAACATCACGATTTTAAAACCAGGCCAACTTAGCAGCAAAATCCTAAAAGTATCTTATTTGAAGACAATCCAGATTCCAGGGTAATCCTCCTAGTCTCTAATCTATTATGCATGCTTTCAAATGGAACGTCAGAGCTTCTTTGCCAAATACTATATATCAACTTTCAGACTTCAAAATATTACAAGATCCAACACTAAGCTTCCGTTCCAAGTGAATCTTACAGGTAAATGCAATACCACCACAGATGCAGGGAAAAATCATTCAACTTGTAATATTCCAAAGATAAAAACTTTTAGAATGCATAATTCACATTTTTAACAACTAATGAAAAATATATTAAATCAAAAGAAAACATTTGAGAGATAGATTACAGAGTAAATGTAAACCCTCAAGTCAATAAGTAACAGAAAAGTTATGTAGATCTTCTTTCCCTTACTTTTTCTTACGTTCACGTCTCTTAACCTGGGATCTTGTTTTATCCACTTCCATTTCAAACCTCAGGTCTTTAACCTCCTTCCTCTTTCTTTTTTTCTTGTTCTTTTCATTTCTACTACTCTTGCTAAGTTGTTCATCACTACTATCTTTATGACGAGGTGCCTGCAATTGTGCATCAATATCCCTTCGTCTAACATCTGAGGGTTGGGCTTGAACCTTGTCCTTTAACTGTCAGATATGCAGAAATTGTCACGATAAACATGCCCAGAGTAAAATAAAAAGAACTGCACCAAAAACGAACCACCCAAAACAATATTGCTCAAGGTAGCAGAACTTTCATATTCATGAAACTTCTTCCAAGTCTTTCAGGAAAAACAGATGGCTTCAGTAACACTTAGAAGTTAGAATCACGAGACTTTGATATACATTAAATTATACAAGAGATCGAAATAGAAGACTTGGATAGCTCAAGCACAACTTGAGTCCACTTATGCTTAAGGGGTGTGCAAAGCAACCAACAGGGAAATCCATAAGAGAAATTCTCGGAAGAAAATATAAATCAGATTTAATTAACCCTAAATACATGGAATGAAAACTTAGCAGCTATACGAATTAAAACAACTCATCAGAACATAATACTTATATTTCAAAATATCATTTGTTCCTAAATTACCATTCCTCCCTCTCTGCAACTATAAGATGCCTTCTGCAAATTTAAGAACGAGAACAAGGACATCCGACAATGACTACAAATCAATAAGAGTCGTTTCCTTCAACATTACTGATTACTGGGTCATATTTTGTCTTAAAAAAAAAAAAAAACAACTTGAAAACGAATATTACCATGGGCCAGGAAATAATAAGACTAAATTTACATTCCTTTTTTTACCCTAATATTAGCAGTTACATCTGATCTTCAACTTGTCGTATTGAAATTAAGATGAAAAATCAGTTGAAACTTACAGATTGGGCATTGTCACCCTCCCGTTTTTTGTGCTGTTTGATATCTCGTTGAGACGAAGAAGTAAAAGAGATGATCTGGCGAAGTTTTGAGGGCAAAGCGTCGACTTTGGAAGCATCAGGCGCAGGAGGGAGGACGTTGTAGCCTCCATGAGCGGCTCTATAGTTCTTCTCCCTTCGTCTTCTTCCCTTGCCACCCATTCCCTCTAAACCCTACTTAATTTTTTTCGCAAAACCGTTATCTGTATCAGCTTCTCCGTTGAAGATGCAGGCCAGGCGTCTCTTAATCAAGACCGTCCGTTAATGAACGCTTCAGATCACGCCTCCCAGGAACAAATTTCATCCATTGCTGCTTCATCTTACATCCTAGCCATCCGTTTTCGAAATTTTAAGAAAGTGCTGCATGCAATTAATCCAAATCAGCAAATTGACTTCAAATGTAGTGAAACTCTCCTAGTGAGAGAAAACTCTGTCTTCTCTTTAGGATGAAAAGTGTCTTCTCGCAGCTACTTAAACTTGATTATTCCTCAGTTTTCGCAATTCTATTTCAGGCATATCTTACTGCATGTTGCTTTTTCTTCGATCGTTTGGTCTCCCCAATGTGTTTTCACTTTCTGAAGATTTTCTTTCATTGTCCTTTGTGCATTGCTAATCATTTTTTTTTATCCTTTGTGCACTGCTAATCATTTCTTGCAGGCTCCTCTACTGAGCTACCTCTTCTTGATTGGTTATCTTTTTCAGGTAACTTGAAGATTGGTTGCACAAGACTACCAATTTTTTTCAGTATAGCGCTCTTCTTTTTTGTGAACTCCTCCTCAGAGACATGGAAGGGGCTTCTAGCCACTACTCTCTGTCATTTAATGCTTTTCAGACGTGCTCTGCTTAACCCATTCATCTAGGTTACGTCTAATTCAATCTCTTTCTGGATCCTCTTTCTTTCTCTCTTTCTTTTCCTTCTTTTTTTTTTTAGCTAGTTTCTAGCTCGCTGCACATCTTTATCTCCCTCCGTTATGTGCAAGATATAATCTGTCCTTTCATCTCACAATCATTCATGCTCCCCTGGACTTGCAAGTTCTACATGTATTTTGTTAGAATATTTATTTATGAATTTACATTGATTAATAAGCCTAAATAGATTAGTTTTTATGATTTTATGTAAACTGTGATAGGTGGACCACACAAGTAAGCCCAATGAACAGAGGCCCAACTTACAACCCTATTGCCGTCGGTTATTTTTTATTTCTTAACTAACTGGGTTAGAGATAATAGAATATAATTAATTTGTTAAAGCGGTTACTAATTTGATTCATATATGTCAATTAGTTGATAACCACAAAAACACAACTCTTTTCCATTATTTTCATTATGTCTACACTCATTGGAAAACTATGGGGGTGTTGTGTGTCTATCTATACTCGAGGTAATCGAGGTATCACAATCAGTTATTGATTATTCAGGTATGCACATCACTTTACTTGAATCTTATGTGTCTTATGTGAATGGAGATATTAAAGTTAACACGGGGCATCAGAACCTGGTTACAAATATTAACTTTGCAATGTCTCAATTTTAATGGATTGCATACATTTAATATCATATATTAAAGATTTGGGATTTCATGCAAATTTTATGAAAGTGGTCTAAGTTAAAATTACACCAACGAATGTAATTTTCCGCTCGGATGATTTTGTTTGTTCATGAAAATGTTTGAAGACTGTTAATAGTTTCATAAAGGTTATTTGGAATGGGGAAAATTGATTTAGATTGATGCTTTCCATTTGTATGATTTATATCTTTTTTTCCCATCACATGACAAACGAGCATTTGGGCTTATTAGTCTTGGTATATGAAAGTAGGAAACTTGTGATTATGGCTTTCATTATTCATTTATTAATCCGTTTTTTCATCCGACAATGTATTTGCAAAGATTCTCTGATTTAGAAAAATACATATCATTTTCATTTTAAAAAAAAAAAAATAAATATTATGGTGATTTTTTTTCTATTTTCGCCATGCACTGTTTTGAGAATTTATTCTCGACAATCTAAGATAAAAAATGTTGGATATTGTTGATGAAACTCTATGAATTCATCACATTGCTAAATCTAAGGAAACTCCTTTCACATCGTCGTTGAATTGCCGAAAAATGCTGTCGTTGCTGTCCGTTTTTTAGAATGTCGGAGAATGGCGGCAGCATTGCCGTTGTGGTTATCGTTGTAGTGCTTATATTGGGATCCTAAGTTACCGCGAGTGACAGACATTCTCTCTCCCCTCTTAAAGGATACAGGATATAAAAAAAAATAAAGTTAGCCTAACCATATAATGGCCATACAATGAGAAGCACCATAATAATGTATATTGTCAACCGACTGTATGCAATGCATCACACCACACATAATAAATACATATTAAATCCAAAAAAGTAATAGTTTCAAACAAAAGTTTAAATTAGTATCACCAAAATACAGGCTTGAAAAATGATGCTCTGATACCAATATGTAACACCCTAAAATTTTTAAACTAATTTTTCACAAATTATTAGTTTAATAAATCATTTTTATATCATCGAACCCTTATTATGGTAGAACAATTTCTACCATGATAATAAATAACTAAACTTCTTTTCAAAACTCTACTATGGTAGAAAAGAGTTTAATATAAATAAAATATTTTACAAATAGCCTATCATAGTAAAAAGAATTTAACATAATAAATAAGCTTTGTATTGATAATTGAAGATATATTTGTAATAAAATTTTACCTAATGGAATACAATGTAAAACAATTCATATAAAAAATAATAATAATTTTTAAATCAGTATTCATTGTAAAAGCTTATCTTAAGGTAGCAGAATCCCAAACTATTCCTAAATACAAATTTTTAATGTTGTAATGTGAACCAAACGTACATCCAAAATAATATACCATAAATCTTATTTAACTACTAAGTACAAACACTTCCTAAAGAATACTGGTTCAACAATATCGAAAATGGGTCTGCATAACATTCACCATAATCCAACACTTATCCTTCACATAATATAATTATAGAATGTACACTTGTTCATATTATGAATATCTTTTTACTCAATACTCAATGCTTCCAAGCCAATTTAGTTATGTTATTAATATCTCAAAAAGCAATTATAATCATGAGGGACAGACAGAATCCTCATGACATGATATTAAAATCAGGACAAAAATTAAGAGAGATAGACATGATCCTCTTAGTCATATAAATGCAGTTAATAAAAAGGATTAGAGTTTATATGCTCTGCAAAATAAGATATGTCTTAAATTGGCACTAGATACATTGCATAATCCAAAATAAGAGGCAACGTAAAAGATGATGTCTCAAACACCAAAGTTATGCCTTTAGTGGTTTCTAAGCCGAACTCGCTCTTGTAAAAATATTAACCATTGAGAACGAGACTTAAAAGTCCCAATAACTAAAAATTAATATGTAATGATGCATATGGATGTAACTAATCATGCGATTGCTAAGTAGGTACATAAAAACATTTAATCGAACAATATTTCCAAACAAACCAAAACAAGTATTTAATTGCATGACTACACCTTATATCCTCCTTTTGCCATGCCTAGATGCTAACTCACTTGACCAAATCACCTGACCAAAGGTGAGTTGGACCAAGCTACACGCCATTCATTATGTCTAATAAGGGCTTAGCATGTGGTAATAATTAACCAGACAAAAATTTCCAATAATACCATATATTAAAATACCTTAACAAGTCATGTATCATTTAAATAACCAAATAAGAATATAACCGAATAATAATATCTCATCATGATAAACAAAAACAAATTTTTAACCTACTTGGCAATAATTCCAAACAAGTATATAACAATATTTATTTTCAATAATTTATAATTCATAATTTTTTCAAACAATAAAACAACACATAACCAATCACATACATGTCCATCACAACACAGTAGTAATGGTTACCTTGTGTTTTGAACAAGTTTTCCTTTACAAGTCCTCTTTCACCACTCTCTTTATCAATACAATCTACATAATTATTCCATAATACTATATATTAATTTTATATTAAAATTAATAAATAACTCTAATTTAAAGAGCTAGAAAGTCTTAGGCCTAATATCCATATTAACACTAATTTAATGTTTATGCCTCATTTAACTTTTCAAATTCTTTTCTAAAATTCTTATACCCTAATAAACTATATTTAAGCCTCAAACCACTTCTAGTATCACAATTTTATCCATCTATGTTATAAAAATTCGTCCAAAAATAAATTAAAAATTTCAAAATTACCCTGAAGCCTCAAATCACCATTTTATAGCCTTAAAATACCTATTTATACTTAAATAAATATTTAATAATTAGATGTTCATCCCTACATCTTAGATTCAACATAAATTCAACCATATAGATCTAGAGTCTAACTCAAAAATTCTTAAACATGAGTTTCAACCACAAAAAATATTTTATAATATTTATTATATCCCTAAAAAATTCAACATGTATTTTTAATTCATCATATCATTAGATTAACTATCCTATAAAAAAAATTTTAATAAAAACATTTGCTCTACTCTACAAAATAATTATATCATTAAAAAGCTAATATTATTTAGAAAATAAGTACGAAATTAATTTTGTAATTAAATAATTTTTTAAATGCTAATCTAAATAGGAAAGTTGGAGCACACCTGAAGAAAAAAAAAATAAACACCCTTGCATGAGAAGATAGAGCAACATGAGAGGGAGAGAGAGATGGAGAAAAAATAATATAAAAATAAGATTGTGGGTCTCACAATTATATTAAAAAAAACTATAGATTTAAATTTAATTATTCAAATCTTTGGGCCATTAGTTGTAATTTTTACAAATTGCTCAATGTCCCCTTTTGCCTCAATTGATGCACGTGGTTGCCTTTTATACATGAGGGGACATTTTCTCTTCCAACATCTAACCGATGTGGGACCTAAAAAAAAAAGCCTTCCACCTCTTTTTTTTTGTTACTTACCTACACTCACAAAAATTATTTATATATTCTAAAACTTAAAATTATATCTTAACTAAACATTTCTTATGTAATTTTAAATATAAATTTTTAATTCATAATTAAATATCTAACCATATTATTATTTTTGAATAACCTCAAATAATATAAATTTCTATTATTATCATTTTTTTATCCTCAATAAAACCTAAATTTCACAATTTTTTTATTATCTAAAAATCAAGATGT